ATCGTATATCATTCTCATTAACCTTTGAGTGGATTACATTGATCACCCGAGGTTCTACTGGCTACGGTTGTGGCGGTGGTGGTGCCGTTGGTGTCGGGGGAAGCCTTGCATGCTCTTCCCTCGTTCTAGCCTCATCTACTAGGTCCCTCAAGTGACCTTGTCTGACCAAGTCTTCCAAGTGCGTCTTCAGGGCTCTACACTCCTGAGTCAGGTGCCCATTCTCATTATGATAAGTACAATGCTTTCCAAGGCTCCTTCTCATGAACTCACTAGGAATCTTCTCCAGCGCTCTATAATACGGCTAGTTCCTAATCCTTTCTAAAACTTTATAAACCAGGATCCGAAACAGAGTGGTGGCTGCCTGTGCAGCCCTTAGTCCTACTTCTTGACTGTTAAAACTAGTATTACCTTGGCCTTGCTTCGGCGAGCTATTTCTCTTCTCTTGCTTCGGTGCCTTCGTTCCTGGCGTATCTTCTTCTGCTCTGGCATATTTCTCGATCCGTGCCATGAGCTCCTCCATACTCTTTGGTAGAGTTTTTGTCAGCGACTTCTAAGGCGTGCATTCATCCTCCAGGTCGTTCTTAAAAGACACGACCACCAACTCCTGGTTACATCCCGATATTCTATTGAACACCTCATAATACCTTTTGGCATAAGCCCTAAGGCTTTCACCCTCGCTAATTTTCAGAGCCATCGAGAGTCTACCCTTAGTGGCCATAACTTGTTTGTAACGAACCTGGCCACAAGCATCTTGGTCAGGCCTTCCCAACTCTTCACAGTTCCTTTCGGTAACTTGTGAAACCAATCCGATGCAATTTTCCTAAAGGATGAGGGGAACACCTTGCACAACAACAATTTGTTCCCGATATACAAAGCCATTGAATTTAGATATAAGCCGACATGAAAGTTCGGATCGGATTTACCGTCACAAATTTGGAACCTCGGCAAGTGGAACCTTTTAGGGCCTCAAACCTGTCCAACTCCACTGAGAACAGTGTTCTCGGCTTGATGAGGGATGTGACCTCGGCATTCTGCCGCTTCCTCTGGAGGTAGTCCCTCAAATCCTCCTTAGTCCAACCAGGAGCTCAGCTATCAACGAATTTCAGTCTTTTTGATACGCTACTCCCAATGTCGTTATGTGTCCTCTTGGACCTCTCTTCATTCACCGTGTCAAAACAAAGTCTCTTCCCCTGAATGTGCCAATATTCTTTGACATTAGTTCCCTTGGTATGAAGTGTCCTCTGACATTCACCTTTCACTGACTCTGCTCGCTCGACATCCCATGAAGACCGATGTGAACATTCTTTCTCTTTGTCATGTTGAGGGACTGCTGGGATTGCTTTCTACCTCCCTTTCTGGGCATCAATCTTGGCCCCTAGCATCGGCGTGTTCTGCAACAGGAATGGTGGTTGCATGACATTGTTCTGCATCATGAAGTTGACAACCGATTGTAGATTGGCCAACTTGTTGGCCATCCCCTTCATCTCGTCGTCCCTCCTCAAGCATCTATCTTTTCATACCTAGAGGTCACTCTCGTTGTAATACTCTTCTTGGCCTACTTTCTTCAGGGCGTTACCCTCGTTATCGACGTCCTTCTGCACAAGGTTTGGATCCTGTGCTCCTTTATCACGATTTTCTTCCTCGATGTTAGGATCGGCATGTTTACCACTCCCACATGGGACGTCGTCCTCGATCGTTTCCTTTTGCCCATCGTTGGTCATCTATTCTCCTTACGTTCCCACAGACGGCGTCAAATTATGGGTGTTGATTTTTGACCACACAACCAAAGGGGGAACTTAGCTGGAGAACACTGGCAGAATAGATTAAGCTCGAACAACCCGTCATAGAAAGATAAGAATTCGGCGGTGGTTCGTTCACTTAGGGACACTCCAATGCTCAAGTCAGTAATCAAATATCTCTCAAAGATAAGAAATTGTATTTAACTCACAAGAAAGAACTTTCTGCTCATAGTATATCACACATACCTGAGACCCACGGGGGTACCCTGTTTTTATAGCCAGCACTAACCTGATCTTTGTAAAAGCCCCACTTTAGTGGACTCAAGCTCAATGCTTATCCTAGACTCTCAACTAGATAGGGATAAACTCCCTAAGAGCTTTATCTTTATCCAAACTGAGATCCTCCCCTATTCCAAGACTCTTGTCCCATATCTATTTATCTCGGATTCCGATATCTCTGCAGATAGCCTTGGCCTAGCCGAGATCATCTCAGCATCAAGACCAAGCCACATGGCGCCTCGGCTGATACTTTGGCGTCACCTTAGCCACGTGTTGTCATTCACAAAATATGCCCCCATGGTAAGTAATACCAAATGGAAGGGGGAAAAAAATCAACTGCTAGTTTGCTAAAATAGTCAAAAATAAATAAATACTGTAAATTATCAATAGGTCTTAATAGTTGGATTTAATTCATATCCAGTGTCCTAGTAAATTTTTTGCTAAAAATGATTTTTTGTGACGATTTTTGCATACATCATTAAAAATTGACAATTAATGACTTTTTTTGTCATAATTTTTATAAATTATCGCTAAATTTTATAATTAGTGACATTTTTTGTGACAAAATTTTGAAACTATTGCTGAAAGTTAAAAATTAGTGACTTTTTTGTGACGATTTTTAAACTGTGGTTGAAAGTTGAAAATTAATAACGTTTTTTGTAATAAAAATTTTAAATTGTCGCTGAAAATTAATCATTAGTGACTTTTTTGATAATCTTTTATAAAAAATATCATTAATTATTATAAGACATATTAGACAATAAGTTCACCTATTAGGATCTATACGTAAATCTCAAAAAAATAAGAAGAAAAAAACACAAATAAGAATTTAAAAGTTGACTTTTTATCTTTAATTTTTTAAATTTTTTTAAAAAAAGTATAAAAAAATAATATAACTCAAAAAAATTTAAAAATTAAAAAACTAACTTTTAACTATATTACCAAAATAAGTTAGATTATCATTATAAACTTTACGAAAAAAAATAATGGATAAATTACACTTAGCACCCTTGTACTTTACATCAAATTTCATTTTTATCCCTACACATTAAATTGTGACACTTAACTCCCTGTACTTTTGGCCAAGTGTCACTTTGGCCCATCTGTTAGCATCATTGTTAACAGAGGTTAGTCACATGAAAAATATGTGAGGATAAATTACACTTTGCAACCCTGTACTTTACACAAAATTTCACTTTAGTTCCTACACATTAAAATTGCGACACTTAGCTCCCTAAAGGACAACTTCTGCTAGCCTCACTATTAACAGAAGGACCAATGTGACACTTGGCTAAAAGTACAGGAGTTAAGTGTCACAATTTAATGTGTAAAGACTAAAATAAAATTTTATATAAAATACAAGAGTGCAAAGTATAATTTACCCAATACAAATAAAAGGACACTTCCCAAAATAAATAAAAAATAAATAAAAAAAGTGCCAAATTGGATATGTTACTGGGGGCGGTAGGTATTAAATTAATTATTGTTAGACGTAGGGAGCAACCGTCCACAATTACCCTACCCCACACTACCTTCCCTGTATGGGCAGAAGTTATTGGTTGCAACCGGGGCACTATCGCGTAGTGCTCAAGCTGTGTCGTGATTTCTGAAAGAACTAAAATTTATAATTTTATATTAAATAATTAAAAAAATAAAAAAATCTAATATTTTATAATTAGTAAGAAATATCGTGATATAACACCTTTAAATCAACTAATATTTTTCTGTATTGGCCCTACCCAACACTACCTTCCCCACATATTATAGGATTTGAAATCACTACTACGCGTGTTACGGAGCTTATCTCGGTCTTCCTTTTGATTATTTAAATAAAATTGTTTATTTTTACAAAATTATTAAATAAAATGACATAAAAATTAAATAAATTTAATATTAAAAATTGCAGTTATTATTAGTTTTTAATATATAAATATAATTTGATGAAAAAATTATTAATATTTGATTAATTTAATATTTTACATACATACTTCACTTAATATTTTTTAAAAAATAATAAATATGTGCCTTACAAAACGTGCAACAACAACAAAATTGACTACGTGACCGCAAATTCTCTATTTTTAGGATTACAAATGAACCGAGTTATTTATGAACATGCTCGACTTGACTCAGTTCAATTCATTTAATAAACAAGCTGAGTTCGAGTTCGAATATTAGACTTGTTTAGTAAACGAGTCAAGCTTAAACTCGTATAAACTCAGTTCGTCAAGTTTGACTCATTTATTTTTATTTAGATTATATAATAAATATATTGTTTTTATATTAAATAATATAAAAAATATTAAAAAAAATTATCGAGTCGAGCCAAAACGAGACGAGTTCGAGTTCGAGTTCGAGTTTTATTACTATTAACAAATCGTGCCAAACTTAAACCCAAACTCAATTTCTTATCAAGTTAAATTTTAATTTAATAAACGAATTTAATAAGTAAACTAGTGAAGTTTAAGTTCAACCAAACTCCACGCAGCTCAATTCATTTGGAGCTCCCCCTATTCCCGTATATATGTCAAACATACTTTTTGCGCCACAATTATGCCTATAAACTTGCCCCTGTACTTTCGGTCAGGACAAATGTTTTGGGCGTACTAGAGTGCAATGGAACTAGGTTTCTCGCCAAAAATTTTTATATGTTGGAGGGTACTATCTGATATGTCATTGTTAAGTGATATTTTTTTTTCAATTATAAATAAATATATTTTTTTTATTATTTCTTAAACACTTAAATGTAATAAATCATTCTGTTAAATTTATTATAATTAAAAAAGTATCACGTAAGGGTTATCCGCAAACACCCAAAAATTCCTTGTCTCTCACCAATCATAAAATCATGCTCTCTTTTTTTTTTGTTTTTTTTTTTTTTTAATTTTTAGGGATGATGCTCCTCGCTGTTCTCTATGTTTCAAAATAAAATTCTGAATGGAAAAAATCCGGATCCCGCAGGAAATGACCCCCACGACCTCCTCTGCGACATGATTGGCCAATATTTTCTTTTTCTTTTTTTTTTTTTCCTTCTCCCCAATTACTAATCCTCGAACGGAGGGTGGGGTCTCAATCACCTCTCAATTGTTCACACTTCTCACCAAATCACAACATCATCACTGAGTAAGCTTCGCCTCTTCCACTAATCTAAAGCTGTTATAAATAGAGACGTGCTGGTTTTGGTCTCTTCTCGAAACAATTCATCTCTCTCTCTCTTCTGGTATCTGGTATTTGTTTGTAGATCTATCAGTCGTTGAAGATGGTTCTGTCAAAGACAACATCGGGGGCGAGCGATGTATCCGTCCACTCAACCTTCGCTTCTCGATACGTCCGAACACCGCTTCCTAGGTAGTTTCATTATCATCATCTGATCTGATCCGATCTCTCTATTTTTCTTTTTTTCTTTTTTTTTTTTAATAAATATATTGAATGGTTAATAATAATAATATGAAAAAATATACATACATACAGGTTCAAAATGCCGGAAAATTCAATACCAAAGGAAGCGGCATCGCAGATAATAAATGACGAGTTGATGCTGGATGGGAATCCAAGGCTGAATTTGGCGTCGTTCGTGACAACGTGGATGGAGCCAGAGTGCGATAAGCTCATCATGGCTTCCATTAACAAGAACTATGTCGATATGGATGAGTACCCTGTCACCACCGAACTCCAGGCATGCCCTCCCTTTTTTTTTATTTCTTACACCATACATTACAATTTACACATACATACATACATCATATATCTCTCTCTCTCTCTCTCATAATTTATATATATATATATATATATTATGCCACATTTAAGGTTGTGTTGTTTATGATTTATAAATTGAATTTTTTTATTTATTATAGAAAGACATGTAAAAAAATTAAAAAAAACTAATGTGATTTAATTAGTCAATTATTGACTTTTAAAATATTATTAAAAAAATCACATAGGGAGATTTTAAAAAATAATTTAAAAGTCATAAAAATTCATAAATATTAATAATTAAAATTATAAATTTTTTTAATGAATATAAATATGTTTTTCCTGACATCACGAGGGTGTAATTTACTCCTATTTAGGGCTAGTTTGGCATGTACTAAATAAGTCAAAAAGTCAAAAAGTCACTATCTTATTTAAGTCACATCATCTTATTTAAATCACATCACCTCTCTAACACATCACATCAAACCCAACCCAAACCCAACCCAAACCCACCAATAAGTCAAAAAGTGCACTTTTTTAACACATCCCAAACCAACCCTTAATGCCAAAGAATATTAGAAAAGGTGTCCGGACCGTCTCCGGTCTAAATTTGAAATAGTCCGATTTTGTTTGATTTATTGGGTTCACTTTTGAACTCATTTTTGATAGGCCTTTGGTCCAGTCCAAGATCGAACTGGACTGTGTTGTTGGGTCGCCACGGGTTCCGTTTTGATAATCTGAACCGTTCAATGTGTAGAACTCGTCGAGTACTATATGCCTATAAAAAATCACGTTAATCGAATATCGATAGTTATGTGAACAGAACAGTTTTTTATCAATCGTTAATTGTTTCACCGTCCATTTTTTTTATACAAAACTGATTTGATCACATAGCTATTGATATCCGATCAACGTGATTTTTTACAGGCATGTAATACTCGACGATTTCTACACATTGAACGGTTCGGATTATCAAAACGGGCCCAAAAATGGGCCCTATGGGCCGAACTGGACGGGTCCAGTCTTGATCTTAACTTGAGACAAGCTGGACACTTATTGATAATCAAAACTATTCATATTTTAAAATTTGTTGAGTATATTATTCCTGTAAATAATCACGTCGATCGATCTAATAACGGATACTATGTATTCAAATCATTTTTATCTAAAAAAAATGGATAGTCAGAAAAATGATTCGAATAGATAGTATCTGTTTTTACAGGAATAATATACTTAACAAATCTTAAAATGTAAACGATTTAAATTATTGAAAAAGAATCCAAAAATAAACGCAATGGATCATATTAAACCTCCCAGGAGACAAGCCCAGCCTAGGAAAGGTATATAAAAAAGATAATTGCAAGTGCTTTTCTTTTTCTTTTTCTTTTTTTTTTTTTTATAAAAATAAATCTATCACAATTAAATCAACAATGATACAATCTGACAAGTGTTTTTTTTTTTTTTTTTTTTTTATTTATTGTCTATGTAACACTCGTCAGTAAAACTGATATAAGAATATAATAATATTTATGACTTGCATATTACGATACATAAACCTTAGAAGCCTTAGCTATGTATATTTGTATGGTGGACTAAGATATTTAAAACAAAAATATTAGTTAGTTTAAAATTTTGTAGTTTAAATTGTTTAAATCTTGTTTTGAGTGTAAATGAGTATAAAACGACGTCGTTTTGATAGATTTGAGTCGTTTTGATAGATTTGAGTCGTTTGAATCATAAAATTTTGAACTACCAAACATTTTCCTATTTAAAATAAGGCTTTGATAGAGACTTCCTTCAATCACCACCCCACCACATACACACGACGGGTGATGATTGGAGAAATAAATAAATAAATAAATAAATAAATAATCTGACCAATCAGAGAGGTCACGGGAAAGGGGGTGTAGGTCTTTTTCCTTTGTAATAGGACTATTGTTTTGTGGACATTTATCTCTCACTTGACCAATACAACTGGTTCACGCAAGATTGACCGGCACCTCTAAGTTGCCTTAAAAATACTCTATGCTTTGCTTTCATGTTTGAGTTTTGCTTTTATTCATCTATATATTATGTGATGTTTTAGAAAATTGATAAAAAGTTATTTTTTGGTATTTAGTTTTTTTGTGACTTTTTGTAGTTTTTTTGTGTAAAAAACTTAAAAAGTCAAAAAATTAACTTTTTATCAATTTCCAAATTATCCCTATATGTTATTCTTGTACTATTATAGAATTTGAAACATTTAAGCTGATTTTGGAAAGTCAAAATTTTAATTAATAAATAAATATATCATATTAAAAAACAGTAATATTTTTTCATTTTTTTATATTTATATATATTTTGTAAAAAATTCAAAAGTTATTCTTAAACACTATACTGTCATCTCATATTTTAATTAAAAAAAGTCACTTTCCCAATGAGCAATTAGTTTAATTCGTAGAATTTGAAATATTCAATTTCTCAAATAAATGGTTTTTTTTTTTTTTTAGATGTGTTTTTTATTTCAGCGGTAGAATGCTTTTGTACACGTGAGCCCATACTCTGATCAAATAATAATTTTACATTTTCACAAAATATTATATTCTATTGTTAAAAAATAATGACGATTAATTCATGACCATGTCGATCATAATTACAACCAAGACCTTGCCCTCTATAATGGTCTACGATTAATTCATGACCAAGTAGATCATAATTACAGCCAAGACCTTGCCCTCTATAATAGTCTATTTCTCTACTGTGCTCATTTTAATTTTATGTTAATAATAATATCGTTACATCCATTAAATTTATTTAATTCAAATTTGTCCGAATGGCGCTCTTTTCATAAAGAATCGCCTTTGCACAAGTCTTTTCTTAAAAAGAGACTCATTTAGACAAATAAAGACTAAATAAATTCGATAAATGAATCGTTAATTATTTAATAATTCAAAGGTGAGACTAGCTTGTTTTATGAACCCAATTGAAGTTAAATATTAACTGAAAGTTAAATATAATATTTAATAATTTAAAGGTGAGACTGCCCGGTACGTGAACCCAATTGAAGCCTTGAATGGTGGATCACATCATAGATGGGGTCGTTTAATTATGAATTTAATGATATCAAATAAAAAAAATTTAAAAAAAATTAATATTTAAGGAGGTGATTTTTGCGATCCCTTTATTTTTTGATTAAAACTTTCACCATTATCATAAATATTATTAGCACATTATTTTAGATATATTTTTTTTTGGCAATTGTTGTCTCCGGTCCACACTGGACCGTGTGGTTTAGGCCTGTCAAGACTATCACGAGTCACTTCTCTATAATCCAAATCATTCATTTTTTAAACCACAATGTATAGATCATACATAAAAAAAAATCAAGTGGATTCGATAACTGTAGTCATATTAGTTTATTACAAATATCTCTCCAAAAATGAATCACCAAGGATCCTCTAGAGTTTTTTTTTCTTAAAATTTCCTAAAGTGGTGTGTTGTATGAGTGAGGTTTAATGCTAAAAAATTGATGTGACTTGTCATTAAATCTTAACCATACAACACACCACTCTAGGAAACTTCAGGAAAAAAAAAACTCTAGAAGATTCGGTTATCGGCTCGACATATTTTTTTCATAGATAAATCTATACATGATTTAAAAAATAAACAATTAAAATTATCAAAACGACATTTGTAATGAGCCCATGACCCAAATAGCACAGTCCAGTGGACACTGTAGAGAAGATAATCTTATATATATATATATATATATAGATAGATAGATTATATGTTTGCAAATTACTATCTCTATGAATTTATGGATAGTTGCACTTGGTTCCGAATTGGGATCCTCCCCTTCATTTCGGTCCTTCATTCCCTCCTTGCAGGGCCTTCGGGCCCACTTTGAGACCTAATTTTGATAATCTGAACCGTTCATATTTTTAGATTTATTCAGTATATCATACCTGTAAAAAACCAAGTTGATCGAATATCATAAAGTATGTGTTCGGAAAACTGTTTATTAAAAAATAGTTTGTAGTCCTAACTTTCTGAACGCATACTTTCTGATATCCGATCAACTTGATTTTTTACAGGTATAATATACTGAATAAATCTAAAAATATAAACGGTTCGGATTATCAAAACTAGGCCTCAAAATGGACCCGAAGGCCCCTGCAAAGAGGGAATGAAGGAGGGGGCTCAAGGAGGGGATCTGGACTCCTTGGTTCCAACCCTTAAAAAAGGTGACGGTATCCCCAAAAACAATTATAATATAAATAAAATAATATTGTCATTTGGGAACAAGTTAAAAAATCGATTGTTAATCTATTTTGAATCACATTATCTCTAATTAAAAAAAAAGTTAAAAAATCGATTGTTAATCTATTTTGAATCACATTATCTCTAATTAAAAAAAAATTAAAAAAAAAATTAAAAAGTCAAAAAAATTAGAACCAACTTTCTAAATCACCCCAAGTAAAGGGGGAAAAAAGAAATGAAAGAAAAAGTTTTTGATGCCTTGTTGATCTTTGTTGCTCATTTTAACAATGGAGAATGCCGCTAAGTTTTTTTGGTTTTTTTGTTTAAAAAAAAATATATATATATATATATATATATCTTATCAAATCTAGCTAGTTTGCATTGCCTTGCCAAACCTTCCACACCAGTTATCCCTCAAAAGAAAAATTAACATAAATTAGGTGTAAAAAAGACAAACAAATTGGAATATTGTTTTTAATAAAATGGAGTTGTATGTTATCAAGATGCCATTTAAAAATGGTTCAAAGTAAAAGCGAAGTGCACTTTTTACCTAAGAAAAATACTCCAGATCACTAATTTAACACCATTAATACATCACTAATGATGTGACACTATGTGGACCCCACCACTGATGTGATAGTTTAGCTCTTTTTTTTCTTCTTACACTGCAAACTCATTAGAGATGAGATGGCATTAGTGTTCCTATTTTAGGAGCAAGGATCCTCTAGAGTGATTTTTCCCTAA